TGCTCCTCTGAGTGGTGGTCTCGGCAGTGGGGGTGTTGGCCTCACGTGTCTGGGGCGGAGCGTTGGACGTGAAGGCGTTGGCAGAGCACGGCGTCGGCGCGCGGGGAGACCTCGTCGTATACCGTGCCCAAGTTGATATCTTTGCGCTTGACTGTGCGAATGCTCTCGCATGTGTTGTAGGCTCCTCCAAGGGGGTTGAAGGGTTCGTACCATCGTGCCCCGCGCTCGCTGAAGCTGGCGCGTGGCATTATGGTGTTTCCATGAGGTGGGGTCACCGTAATGCTGGCTGTTGGTATGCTTGCCGTTTGCGCCCTCACGTGGTCATTGCTCGAACCCAGGCGGTTGTCTGCCGCTGGGACGGTAGGTGCGCCATCTTGGATGTCAAGAGCCTCTCCAACTCATGTTCTATAGTGGGGCCGCATGGCAATACGTCTCTGATGAAATCCTTGACGAAGGTGGCGGCGTCGAGCAGAATGGTCCTCCCTGCTGCGCAAGCCGCCGCGCCGGACTCACCAGACTCACCGGACACGCCGGACCCACCGGACCCACCGGACCCACTGGAGCCACCAGACCCGCCAGACCCGCAGGACCCGCCGGACTAACCGGACTCACCGGACTCACCGGACCAGACCTGCGGCAGTCACCAGACTGCCGAATCCACCAGACCGGCCAGACTTGCCAGACCCGTGGGGAGTGCAGTGGAGCGCTCGTGCGCACCAGCTTTGTGAATGCTCTTCATGGGATGCGATGCTTGGCGACGAATTACATCAGGAAAAAAAACGAGGAGGAGGAGGACGGCAAAATCAATGTATCTCGTGAGGATGAAGAGAAGGGAACAGGTGGAGGATACAGTAACATGTTATAGAGGTCATCGTCAGAATGATAATGTTTGACCATGGATGTTGATGCTGATTAGGGTGACGGCGTGTATTATGAAAATGCGTATGTTGTTCGTGTGGGTAGTGGTTGCAAGGAACAAGGATGCTGTTGATGGTATGTTTTGCTCCCGCCCTGGCTCTCAACCCCAGAGGTCCCCGGATGTCTCCGGAGGTCTTGTGTTCGTGATGGTGATGCCGATGATGATGATGATGATGATGATGATGATGATGATGATGATGATGATGATGGCGACAACGATGATGATTATGATGATGACGATGATGATGATGATGATGATGATGATGATGATGATGTGGCCGAAGCTTCTGCTTATGTATGATGATGAGAAAGTTTGGGCGATCGTGGCGATGATCTTGTCGACGGAGGTACTGCTAATGGCACTCATTGTTACGAGTGTGATTGTGATGGTGGTTACAATTCTGTTAATGATATGCATGATGATAAATACGATGATGACGTGTGTGCTGCGGATGGCCGCGTACACGACCATGATGATTATAAAGATTTGAATATGGATGTAAATCCTGATTGGAATGGTGTCACTTACGATGCTCATGTATGTGTCGCTGGTGTTGGTACTCATGACAATGACGCTGTTGACGACGACGGATCCGGAGGGCCATCTGAATGACGAGGGCGATGCTCATGTTGGCGGCGACAGAAATGATTATGCTGGTGTTTATCGCGTTTTGCAATGATATGGCGGAGGTGCCTGCTCATGCTAGTCGTGATGCGGTTGACGATGCAGGTACTGATGACGATAATTGTGACGATGTTGAGGACGATGCCGATGACGCTTAACACTGTGATTATGATGATACATCTCATGATGATGCTGATGGCGTGATTGTTACTCATGGCGACGTTTACGATGATGATGACGATGATGGTCTGGATGTGGATTTGATGCTGATGGGATGCTGACGCTTGCGATGATGGAACCCCCCTTGGGCTTTCTTGAAAAAAACCCTCGGGCCATCTTAGAGCTCCCCTGTGTCGTCTTAGAGCCCTGTTGGGAAACTCTTAGGCCGTCTTGGAACGATCTTGAGGGCATCTTCGACCGTAGCCCAAGAGACGAATATGCTAAACATACCAGTTGTCGTAAGGAGCTGCGACGATGGTTGCCTCTGGGGGGGCCCTCTTGAGAGTGCTCTTCGTCGCCTCTTGGGTTGTTTTGGAGACGTCTTCAGCCGTCTGGGGGCCATCTTAGACTTCTCGGAGCCATCTTTCGGTTAATCGGGGCCCTTTTCAACCGTCATGGAGGTCGCCCTCCTGGCCCCTCTTAGAGCCCATATTCATCCTGATGGGCTTTCGCCCATCCCGGTCAGAGTCCTCAGGGATTCTTCTTCGGGTCTCTTCGGAGTGCTCTCAGGACCCTCTGAAGGCAATTTTGAGGGATCTTGAGAGCCTCCTGAAGCTTCTTGGGTGCCTCTTGGAAGCCTCTTGGCGCTTCGTGGGGATCCACCGGCTCCAGCGGAAGAGGAGGCGCCGGACCCACCGGACTCGCCGGACCCACCAGAATCACCGGACCCACCAGACCCACCGGACCCACAGGGCTCACCGGACCCACCGGACCCACCGGACCCGCCAGAAGCGCCGGACCCGGCCAGACCTGGCTGGACCCACTGGACTGGAGCAGCAGCGTGCCCCTCCTCGCGTCGAGAGGTGTACGTGTGTCATCGCTGGGTCGTGTCTGCACAGCTCGTAGATCGCAAAGCTCACCTTGTCTCTGTAGATCGTGTCGTTGGTGTAGTGTCACTGGTGTCCCTGCAGTTTGATCTGTGTGTCGGGTGTGATGTCGGTGACTTCGCGGGCTGTCGAAGGTGGAGGTCCTGGTGGCGGTGGGGGTGGTCCGTCGGTCCGTCTGCGCCGTCGGCCTTGAAGGACGAGCCGGCTTGGACGACCCATTTGCCCTTTTCACTCTTGTACATGAACATCTCCGTGTTGTCGTTGTTGAGGTGATGCGTCCGCAGTGGTAGGAGCCTCCACTTCTCTGGGTAGTCCCATGTCGATGATGTGGTGCTTGGGTTGTGGTCGAATGCCTGGTCCCTGTCGGCCTTAGGGTATGCCCTCCATGGACAGGTAGACGCACGTGGTGACTGGGAAAGTGGGGCAGGCCGGCTTGTAGGTCACGGGGGCCGACATCATGCTCATATGGCTCGTTCCAGGAAGCCTGAACCCACACTGATGTGCATCTCTTGGGTGGCCGATTTTTTCGTCCGCCAGCTTCCGCCAGCGGAACCGCCATCGTTATGCTTCCGCCGCCTTCCGCCGAGGAAGAGATGTCGACCCCTCGATTCCTCGAACGCGAGGCCCTTTCTGGAACGCCTCACAGCACCCAAACCTCCAGCGCGGCGGAAGAAGCACGACAGCCGGTCGTTGCAGGTCTGTCCTCCGAAGGCGCGCCTGGGGCCCCGAGGGGCAGCCCCGGATGAGAGACTCTTCCCGGAGACCGGTGGGAGAAGAACAGGACAGCAACACAAGGATTGCTGGATTGCCGCTGGGTGCGTAAAAGACAAGGCCTTCTGAGGGAGGTGGGACGAAGATAAAGCCTTTCAGATAGCTGAATCAGCTATCTGAAAGGTCTGTTGGTCTGTGCAGCACTCGCGCAGGCATCTTCGGAGGACCGCGCTTACTTCTTGGGTCAGCGCTGGGCTGGGCCCCCTGGCGGCGCTGGGCGCGCTCCGCTTGCCAGCGAGGGGGCGTTCTGGTGCCCGGTGCTGATCCAAGAGCTCCTCGCGGACCTTCGAAAGCCGCAGCTTGTGCCGTGCTTGATTCTTCGTCGACGGATGGGGTCGAGAGGCGCGGGGGGCCCCGCGTCACGCCTAGGACCCTGGGTCGTGGCGCCAGATGTCTGGGCCCTCTCCCAGGACAGAGCCAGGACGAGGGCGAAGACCAATCGAGAATCTCCGAGATCCAGAACCTGGAGGATGTGCTGGGCGCCGCGGCCCTGTCGGAGCGCTCCGGAAAGCTTTGAGAGGTCCTCCTCATCCTCCTCTTCCTCCTCTGGGGAAGGCTTCGGGGATGAGGAGGTCCTCCTCATCCCAAGGAGCAGACGGGTTTATTCGAAAGGTCCTCCTTTAAGAGGTCCTCCTCATCCCCGAGCGGACGGATGTATTCGAAACCAAACGCGAGTTCTTCCAACGACGGAGGAGGAGGCGGAGGAGGAGGAGGAGGAGGATGAGGATGAGGAGGAAGAGGAGGAGGAGGAGGGCGGCGACGCGCCCCCAGACGCTGGCGACGACACTTGTCCTGCCGCCCCCGCGTGGCCGCGCTGCGCGCGCCCGGTCAACGTTGACCTTCGGGGGCGAGGAGGCTGGGCAGAACCACGCGTCTGATTTAGAGTCAGGTCGGGCGTGTCCCCCTACAGGCGGATTTCGGACGAAAAATGAAAGAAAAATCAAAAACAAAAAAAACACCCCAAAAACATGCAAGAGTATACCAAAAAAAATATCAAAAATCATCCCCAGGCGACTCTTTGACAATTTCTGAATATTCCTCCTGCAGAGGGACAGGCCCGACGTAAATTCAGAGGGGGGTTGTAGCCCCGTCCGATCTGGGCCCGTTCCAGTGGCGCCGCCAGCCTCTGACGGCGCGCGCAAGGGAGTGTCGGGAGCGGCCAAGAGGGGGGTGTCCAAGAGGGGGGGTGCAAATCATGACCGGCGGCATGTGCGCGGCGCAGCGGGGGGGCCAGGGACGTAATGAAATAAGAAGAGGCGCCATGAAATCTGTGGAAAGATCATGGCCCCCGCCATGATATCCACCCCCCCCTAGTCATCACCCCCCTCTTTTCCGCCCCCGAGAGTAGGGGGAGGGGGCAAGGCCTCTTAGAAAGAGGCTGCGGCTCAGAAGGCGTCGCCCCCACATCTACTGCGAGGCGAGGATCTCTCCGCATCCACCGCCTGGGAACTGACGTCCTGGTGCCCCAGCGGGCGGTGGATATGGATATTTCGGCCCCCAGGGGCCCGAATATGTCCATATCCACCGCCTGCCGAGGCTCCGAAAACTGACCCTCCAGGCGGTGGTCCTGGATAAATTCCCGCCTCGGATCTACAGACGAAGCCCGTCCGATCTGGGCCCTGTCCAATGGCGCCGCCGGC